CTACGTATACCTGATTCCTAAACTTCAGAAAAAAATTACAAACTACGATATATCGCCGAGTCCAGCAGGTGATCTTCCAAGTCCCTATCTTTACTTCTTACAAAATATCAACTGTTGTTAAGAAGAAACGTCAGACGAACTGTGTGACAGCATATTCTAGATACTCTAGTAATGTCATTCATATGTATATTCTCAAAGCCCTCAAAGTACGTTTAGAAAATTGAAAAAAAATCACTATTTTTTTCTTTAGTCTATAAAATCAGAAGATGCAACTCTTCTACCTTTCTACAATCATTTCTCGCGATAAATTAGAAAATAAACTTTTTTTGACACCATGGACAACTACTTCTTCAATAAAAAATGAACTTGGAAATTTTTGCATCTTGTGATGGGTCATCGACAAGGTTACTTTGTTAAAAATCACTCTGATCCTTCACACAGGTACTCTGATGTTGATATTTAAAGGATTGTGGAGTTCCTCATTGACAACATTTATTTTGTGTTCGGAGACCAGAGGCCTGTTCAACAGAGCGAACGTTCGCGAGCGTTCGCCAAAATTCCTTATCTTTCCAACAGAAATGTTCGCAAGCGCTCGCGAACGTTCGCTCTGCTGAACAGGCCTCAGGTCTTCCAACAAACTGTTGGAATTCCGATGGAAACTTATTGTGCTCCTTTATTGGCCGACCTGTTTTTATATTCCTCTGAAGCAGAAAGTATTTAAAAAAAAAAAACTTCTACATTAGAAGAAAAAGAAAACACTTGCTGTGACCTTCAACTCGACAATCAGGTATATCAATGACGTTTGGTCTATTAACAATAGAAACTTCCATTCATATGTCGACTCGAATATCCCAGTGAACTTGAAATAAAACACAAAACAGAATCTACCACATTTTGTATGACAAATGAGATGACTTCTGCTTTCTATCGTTAACTTTCCTACTTTATTTATAGTAATATTCCGTTAACACCTTCACATGGTGTTAACGTCTCCCATCTTATTCATTACTCAAGAGCATGCTCTGAGTACGATCAATTTTTTAATAAAAAAAAAAAAAAATCAATTTTTAATTGAAAGATGAGTGATTTTACAAGGATTTCAACAATCTCGTTTAAAGTTAGCATTTCATAAATTTTATGTTCCTTATAATGAACATGTTTACAAATATAACCTATTTTAGCTGACATGTTTCTTATATACTTAACTTAACTACGAAATGTTCCGTCTACCTGATCTATACATAGGGCGCATGGCTTGTGTGACCGTTCAACAGGGGATGCTTACTCCTCCTTAGCGCCTGACCCCATCTATGAAATTTCCGAAGGTTCCTGTTTTATGCCCTCTTTACAGATTATAATTGTTTGTATATTTTTTGAGATTGAACACTCTTCGTTATCTTCATTTTTTCACTGTTATTTATAAATGCATCTATAGGCATTAAATTGATTTTATTGATGCAATAATTCAGGTTTTATTTAACATCATATCCCATTATGCATGTATGTGTTAAAAAATAACCTGAGTCCATACATTCATTTTTTCTTTTAATAGAAATATGGGCAGAAACACAACAGTCGATGGCCCGTTTCTTTCAATCGAGAGGTACAACAGAAGTTTCTTAGACTTGGAGAATAATGTAACGTACAACACTTCTAAATACAATTCTGTCCTCACGGATTCCTTAGTAACTTTAATTGTTGCTACGATAATACTCATAACTGGAGTGATTGGAAACAGTTTCACAATCATATTTGTTCTTGTGAAAAGAAACTTACATACGCCAACTTACACAGTTATAGCTTGTCTTGGAATCGCTGACCTCTTAGCATCCTGTTCTCGATTTGTTTTACATTTGCACAAATATTTTGACATTTTTAATTACATGGAAACTTTAGTGTACGGCATCATCACTATGTTCTTCCTACACGCAGCAAATTTTCACGTAGTTCTGTTTGCATATTTACGTTGTGCATTAATTTCGTCTCCACTTCAAAGTATCGGAATAACTTGTCAAACGGTTTTAAGGATCTCAATCGTTATTTGGGTTTTTAGTGGTGTTGCGACGTTAATTTACGGCACAGTAATGGTATTTGAACTCAGAGGTATTGTTGAACTTGAACACAGTTTGCTGGCTGAAATTGTATTTTGGTCTTATACTTACTTTTTGCCACTATTCTTGATAGTTTACTTCCATGTTACGAAAATAAGAACGGTGAGACAAAATCAATCTGATTCAACAAGAACGCCAAGATATACACACATGTCGCAGTCAATGTCTTTTATGTTTATTATTATCATTGCTATTTTTATCATCAGTACAACTCCATCATATGTACATGTAATCATACAATATATATGTTGGAAAGGAAATGGGCAATTAATTATTTGCATTAATTATCCCTTTTCATTAAGCTATTCTATCTCTTATCTTTGTGTCATGTTGAATAATTGCATAAATCCAATAATTTATTTCATGTTTTGCCCTCCTGCCCGAAAGTTTTTTAACAGATGTCGGTCGATTCAGAGATGATTCATAATCAGATAAGACACTCAAGCTCGAAAGACGTGTTTTCTTATGAACTTATCTCTCATAAGATTTTATAGGAGATAAACACTGCATAAGAGACACTAATGAATCATAGCACTAACTCCAGTTTATTTAGATCAATTTTTGGCTCTTTTAGCCGATTTTCAAACTCCTAGTTACCAGTTATAAGGAACTTGCTCCAGAAGATGTTAGTATACCAGATTACTTACAAGTGAACTTAAATAGTATGGATGTCATAATTTCCTTCGAGTATGACAAATATTGATACTAAAATATCTCGAATCCTGCAGAAGGATCTGATATTCTACTGTCAAAGTTACAGAAATTGATGGACTTCTAAGAAAGTATATAACTCTGTAACAATCTACAAATCTACTGACTCTTTTCATAACGAAGGAGATGCTGGATGTACTTGGTACTTATTATTATTTCCATTAGAGCTTGCAATGATATGGAGCATGGCATTGCTTAAATCTCTAACCAACCAGAACTCAAATTTGATTCACCACGCAAAGCAAATAATGAATGCAAAAAAATGTATGCAGTCATTGCAACAGTACACTCTAACTTTAGAACAACTGTCCGAAACTGTTAGATTCTTACCTTTGAGATATTAAAAGTTAGATTCAGCACTTAGGAACGTAAATCATGAATGTCGTACTAAAACAAAAAGACAGGCAATTAAAAGTGTTGTATGTGGTGGTGTTTCGAGACATATCCAGTGCATACCAATTAAAATTATAATTATGTCGAGCACTGATACAGAGAAATGCCCTCTGAAATCAGAAGTCGAACACCAAGAACTGCGAAAAACGTTATATAAAATGAAGAGCCACCTCATCACACTGGGGAAATAATTGTAGTTTAATTATTCGAAAAGTGAGAAACCATGGATTGCACAAATATGTGAAAGTGTCTACAGACAGATGAGCAACATGTTCCATATACATGTAAGAGCAAAGTGGTACAAAATGGATGTGTCAATCTTTCATAAAAATATCCATTTAAGTAGGCAGGAATTGCTTCAAGTAACCGCTACCCGGAAGCGATTGAAAACGATTTCATCGAAATTACCTGCGATATAAGGAAACGATACCAGAAAATACAAGTGCACCTATCCGAGGTCTTGCCACTTAGGGATACAGATATTTGTGTAGTGAAAAGATATTATTGAATATGTGTGCAAAGAGGTCGGAACTATCGTCATCCCAGTGGGCAACTCTTTTCGAGAAAATCTACCAAATGAGATCCATTGAAAAGACTGCATCCATTTATCGGATAGTCACAGTTGTTTTATATAAACATATATTTTGAATGGTCTATGTATTGCATATACATACCGTATACCAAATTATTTACTATAAATTTTATAATAGAAAATTGAAGTTTCGATTGTATTGCCTAAGTTTAACCCTTTCTCTACCGGCGCATTTTACATGATTTTGGAGACCTTTTGACATAGCATTATCAAATTATTTCTAACCTTTTTATCCAAGGAAAACGCTAGGCATAATGCATACCATTTTGTAGGGAATTTCATAGAGATGATATTTCATGACTATTCAGATACCCAACGACTGACCTTATTAGAAGAAATGGAGGTCAAAGGTCAAATAAGTGCAAAATTTTATCGAATTTTTCGATACATTTTAATATTCAAGCTAAAAATTTACAATGATGTATGTTGAAATAGGAAATTTGGAATATACTTACAAAAGAGCATTATACTGTACAACATGAATCACATAAACTTTTTTTCAATTCTGCATATAATGACTTTAAACGGGTTGCTTAGCAACGCGGTATTTTTCAATTTTTGGTCAGCAATTTTCGTTTTTTGCTCATCCTAGACACATTTATGCATTCCAGCACATTTTAAAGTCAAATATGAGGTCATAAAATTAAAAGGGACATACAGCAGATAAATTGTCTTAAAGTTTGACCTTATTAGAACTATTTTTAGTTGGTCAAATGTCAAATAAGTGCAAAAATATCATCAACTTTTTCGACACTTTTCAATATTCTTGCTACAATTTTACACAATGGATGCTGAAATAGAAAATTCTGAATATATTCTCAAGAAGGCATCAGAACTGCAATATCAATATGCCATTTTAGTTCAAATATTTGTTTTTCTTTAAGTGGTTGCTAAGCAACAACATTTTCAATTTTTTGGCTGTATACATTGTATGTTTGTTATCGCTTATTCTAGACACTTTGTGTGTATTTTATGATATTGTAAGTAAAATATGGGCCAAAATAATGTGAAGAACATTATAAAATTAAGTATTAACCTTGTCTCTTTTGTTCTTAGGGGGGTCAAGGTCAGATCAGTACAGAATTCTGCTTTAAATTGCAAGTATATATAAATTTTGAAATGCTGCAATCATTATGGATATATCATCTAATAGTTGACGTACAAAGTTTTGAACAACAAAATTCTGAGAGAAATTTGATAAAATGAATTAATCTTTTTTATTTTGCATATCTTGGTTGCCATTCCAGAAATACATCTAAAACATGTGAACTGAAATAAAATTCGTAAGATGCGATTGCATGTAATTCAACCTTAGTGACACACATTATTAAAATGATATGGTAAATATCATATGGTAATATGATAAGCATGAAGAAACCTCATGAGATGGACAATAGATGGAACTTGGAATCTCTTTTTCAAATAAGTGGCTTTTGCATTACAATCCTTTCATTCATCTTATTTATGTGACATGCATTTGCTCATCTTCGTAAGCAAAGAATTCTGGTCTGCTACTCTTTTCACAAACCCTTAGCCTATCATGCTATCAAAGGTCAGGATTGTTTACGCCACCTGATCTCGAATCACAGCTTGCATCATTCATAGAAATAAAGAGCACTTATAAAAAGTGAAGTGTCTGAAGAATAACTAACAAGCAGATAGGTTTATTTGTTAGTAAGTTGCAAGTCTTTATCTGCAATATACAAAATGTAGGTTCCAGATTACATTATGTGCGCATAATCTTCACGTTGGATGATATGCCATAGCAATTTCAAGAATGGAATGTTATCTTATGAATCATTGTTTACAAAGGTTTTTATTACTGAGACTATAGAGTCAAGAAATATCCTGAATGAAGATCTCGTCATTTACTATAGCACTTACTGATTGGTCAAATGATGTCAATAAACTCCAATCACAACCTGTGAAAAAAAATCCTGGCTTTTGATAGCAAGATAGATAGAAAATTAGCAAATCCCTTCGCTGGTGAAGACTGCATTCACCAGCCATGTTTGAATAGAAACATTTGACTTGATCTTTTAAGGCAATAATAAATTGACAATGCCAGTAATTAAAAAAAAATATTGTCAAAAATTTGAAGTACAATTTGCAAACAGGGTTTCTTGTGTTCTAATTAAAAACAAAATCACAACCACAATATCAAGTAAATTAAAAAAAAAAAAAAAAACAGTACTTTAGTACTTTCCACCAGTGCAATTTTGTTCAAATTTATAATGCATATTTACTAGCAATTAAATTGACAGACCCACAGGTCCTATACATTTCCTGAAAGATGTGACTAATAAAGTTGTGGCAAAAATGACAAAAAGGTGTGGCTGAACAGTGATGTAAAAATTACATAACAGTAACTACAACATGTATAGTATTTTTCTGTTAAACAAAAACAAATCCATTTTCTTGATGCCATTAAAAATAACCTTTATTTTCTTGGATTTTTCCCCGACTTTAAATTTAACAAGAAAAATAAACTAATTGATTTCATTACAAGATTTTTCTGGTAACAGTGCTTAAGGGGTACAATAAAGACTTGATGTCATCTTGGAGGGAAAAAATAATAATAGATGGCATTGGCAATATTTAACGCAAAACTGTTTAGTCAATACGTAGAAAATGTGATGTTTTATCCAAATATACAAATCCAGAAATATTGCAAGCTGAATTCTAAATCAGACTGATTCAATCTTCCACAAAATGTTGAAGACCAGAGCACTTTTACTTTGTGAATACCAGTCTTTCATTATAACTGTCATTTCTCTGAAAGACTGGAGGAACTTCTTTGACTTGTCCAAGACATGATCAATTTCTGTCAAGTACATGTAATCAGTTTCTACCCTGTAAAAGATTTAAATATTTTTAAACAGATTATGTGAATTTACATATATAAAATTAAGAATGCTACAATTAATACATTGATATAATTTTCCTTTTAAAATTAAAAGTATATTTATTATGTGATTCATGTAGTTAAATGATTTGGTTAAGTCAATGTATCAGGACTGAAAAATAATCAAGCCAGTAGTAAACCATCATTATTGAATTATTGAACTAAAAGAAATAGCATACCTGGCTGTCAGGGTTGTTAAGAAAAAGGACACATTAATGGACTGAAAACTGTTGCTTCAGGGCAAACATGTCCAAGACATGTCCAAGAGAATGTACATGAGAGTGTTGATAAATAGCCATCCAGTGAATATAGTTTGACCACTCATGTATACATGTACATGACTGAGAAATTGAGAAAATGGAATTTCTAACCACATACTTCACGAGATTGAAAATACCACAGCAGTCTATAAAAGACAGCTTGTTCCATATCTGAGCATAAATTTGAATAAATATTGTGTGTTTAAATAGTGTGTTTATATGTAGAAACATGCATCATAAATATCATGTGTATCATACACTTTTTTCAAAATATAAATCAAATTCTTATAAACTTGTGTGAATGCAATATCAAGAGAATGCAATTAAAATTTCACTTTATTTAGAATTTTTATAGATATAGAAATTTTCACCAAAACAAAAATTTACCTGTTCATTGGTCATAATAAGCACCTGTATCCCCACATAATGGTCCTTCAGTGCATGGTAGGGTTAGCAAGTGGGTCTTCACAGATGAAAGTACTGAAGCCTATGGCACCATGCAGCACCCTAAAAAAATCAATGTAATAGTGTTACATGTACATGCAGCACCCTAAAAAATTCAATGTGATAGTGTTACATGTACACAACAACATCTCTCCATAATTATGCCGACTTGATTTTATTTTGAAAGGTACTTAAGGGTGGTCGTCAAAAGCATGCACTTCAAAAGCAACACAAAATTGGCTGAACAATACGAGATACAAACACTGAAACAGGGTAACGCCTATACATGAAGATCTAGTACGTGTGTACATTTTGTTTTCATTTGAGCGTGAATTAATGCGTTTTAAAGACAGCTTTAAACTCTTCAGTCAATACATACTCACCTCTAATACCAAAGGAAAGATCGTAATATTTGATGCACTGATGTGATGTTCCTCGTCGTAAAATAATCATGAAAATTGACGTTCAGATCATTATCATGTTGTTGTTTACTGCTACCACAGCGGAAACACGTGGTAATCTCAATTCGTAATAACTCTTACAGTGATGAGTCATGTAAATGCGAGTTTTTGCGCTTGTTTCAAAGTTGTTAAATTCCGTATCAGTAGAGATCTAATTAAATTTCATATTTTAAAGAATGTATATATTAACATACAACAATAATAACTTTGATTTTTTTTTCGAAGTAAAGACGTTTAGGGAATGTACATTTTTATCAACATTATTGTACATGTAATAGATAAATAAATTCATTATATATTATTTTTTTTTTTTACAAAAGATAGAAAGATAGTATATATTTGTTTTTTTAAACCAATTATTTTGTATTAAGCATTTATTTCATTAAAAGCATATATATATAAATAGTACTTGTAAAATAATATGTTGTTCCTAGTAAGACGTATGCAACAAAATCGACATTGACGTTAAATATTGATCGCCCCCGATTTTTCTACAAAAATAATGCGAAGGTCACAAATTCAAATTATCGTAATTAAATAGATACTGAGAGTAAGAAGACCTATAAAGGTTTGTTGAAAAGGAAATTTTCTCTACTTTTACCAGCTTTATTTTGTTTTCCCTATTTCAGTACAGAAATACACGTAAAGCTGAGCTTTATTTAAATATTACGAATAAAAACGAGAAAAAACACATAAGCGCAAGAAAATTCTTGTTTTTACAAAATATTTTAAAGTACTATATTCTTAAAGCATATTTTCTCTGCTTTTGAAATATGTAAAAAATACTGTTATTTAATAGCAATATTTTTTACATATTTTAAAAGCAGAGAAAATATGCTTTAAGAATATATCATACTTTCTTTATTAAGTTAGTCAGGGAAAATCGTCAATTGCTTTGGAAAATTGCGCCATTTTCAAAAAGTCGTGTATGTCTTCAAAACGTAAAATCTATTCATTACCGACACGAATACATAAATTTTTACATAATTTATAGAAGAGAAAATTTCCAAAAAGATGATATATAGTTTATATACCTTTATGCTATCATGAAATAAATACAGAGATCTTATTATCGCGAAGTCGTGTTTTAACGCGCTATTGGTCAAATTGACCGGTGTGGAAGTGAAGGGGCTAAGATAAAAATCGCCGCCTAATTAGAGGGCCGCAGTTTGTATGCACAGCCCAGAGTAAAAATATTTAAAAAACGTTATAATAAAGTTAAATGATATACATGTACGAGAGTTTTCCCAAAACTCCGTAGACTGAGCTCATATCTTTTTCTGAAATTAATATATCTTTATAAAAATTTCGGGGTCGATAAAGTATGTTGTTGGCTGAAAAGGTACGAAGTTTTAACATAAATACATCAAAAAACAATTCGAGTAATAAGAAATTTATTGCTCTTATTCCTTGAGCAATCTCTGACGTCAAAAAAGATAAAATGTTACCGGTTCAGTGTGTGTGTGTGTGGGTACCCTTATTACCAGAATGAAATACTATGATTCATCATATAAAGATTATAGATATATATGTGAAATATCTTAATCACTATGAAATGATTTAGCATTAAAATATTTGAATAAAGTATGCACTTGTACCTGTTTTAAGAAATAATATTTAGAAAAACTCATTGTTTTACGGTTTTCGTTTGTCTTCTCTAATGGAGTTGCACAGTATCACTCATGCCCGATTCCTCAGTCAATCTCTCTTTTTAGTTCCCCCCCCCCCCCATAATACTAAGAAAAACCGTTTCAGTTATTTTCATACACTAAGGACCAGGAAACATTTCCATATGTACCAAACATTTATGACATGCGTTTCTGTAGGAGTGAATTCAAGATCAGAACAATTAATCATGTAGTCTAGTGCGCCGCGTGTGTCAACGCAGTCGCCATTTTTCAGCACGTCAGATTTCAAACTGGTGGATATTAAACGTTATAAAATTCATATTAATTAAAGCATATACACTAAATTTTGAGGAAATTTAGTTAAAAATACAGTATTAAGAATTTTCATTTATATTTTCGAAGTTCTTAGAAGTAATTATTTTTTAGTGTGATTTTGAATATTATATATTATATCGAACTTTCATTGCAATTTTGGGTACTGCACCGCCTTCCTACACCAGACAATGAAATACTTCATTTAAATAGGGTAAATCTGTGTAATAACACACATAACTGTCCATAAATTTATTAGTTATTGTTGGCTTAATCTCTGTACAAAGATTCATTAATATATGATATCGGATTCCTACAAAACAACACTTGTCTAAGGGATTTTGGGACAACCCTCGTATATTCAATAAAACAGTCAAAGCTAATTAAGATTTATATGTGAAGTTACTAAAATTACTGTAGTCATTTTCTAATGTCGTAAGCATTAGGTTTTTTTTTTTTTTTTTTTTTTTTTTTTTGACTAGCGTAAATCATGAAATTATTTGCTGATTTGATGGAAACAGAAACATCGAAAATGATAGAATAAATAGGGAGTTATCGAAATATTATCAGTGCACTGTTTTACAAGTGACAAAATGGTTTCTGACGTTGTGTACATTTGTAAATTGTTAGAGGCTTCAAGAAGTGAAAGATCACTGAAATTTGATAAAAACAAAGTCCAGAATTCATGACGCTATTATGAATCCATCTTAACGTCAGATTTGGCTCTGCATATTGAATATATAAAGCATTTTTACGGATAAAATTGTTCATTTGTCTGATTTTTCCCACCCGTTTTTGAAGGCAGGGATATCAGTGTCTGATTTATGGAATGTTTAACTTTAGGGGGTCAGTTCTTGCATAATATGATGTCAAAGATTTTTGTGTTCTTTAGAAGTTTTTTCTAGTCTCTTCTGACCCCCTAACTATGTGTATTTTTGTTTTGCGAAGTTTACTTGAATAAATGACATTTTTTTCACTTTCAACACTGCTGTTATTTTCTCTTAAACCATCAAAAAAAAAAAAAAAAAAAAAAAAAAAAAAAAAACCTCAGTTGACTTGGCTTTGGTCTTGTAGGAATAACAAAGGAACATAAATATTTTTCTCATTCATGGTTTGTTTAAAAATCTTACACTGTATCTCATAAGCTTGACAGTGTTTATGTTATAAACAAAAAAAAATCTTAAATAAATTACGTTCTAAATTCAATTGGATCACTTTTACTCCCCCCTCCCCTCCCCTGGGCGAAGTTGTCATAAAAGTCCAATATTTTTAAATTCAAGCTATCCTTCAAATAGCCATTAGGTCTACAATCAAAAAGTGACGTAGATGTAGGTGCAAAATCAGACATTTTTACAGATAAGATAATAGAAGACATTTTAAGAGTGGAAAATAAACATATATACTTTCGGGTGTCTGGTAGAATTCTAAGACTGGATACATGTTAAGTCATTTCAGACATTGAGGTGACCTTTATTTTATTTTTTTTAATTAAAGCCTCCCAAAATCAAAGTACTCTTAATTTCCTTCACCGCTACCAGTTGTAGAAATTAATAATGTTGTTCAAAGTACCAAGTCCAATCATAAAAGAATTAAATGCAAAATATTCTTTTTAGCTTTTGGCATGTATTAAATTTTAATTTCAGTTTGATTTGTCTTTTTTCTTTCATTTCATATTACAGTCCATTATAAATTTAAATACTGGTCTATAAGGGTAAAATATTAAACGTGTACATGAAGGGCTAAATATTAGTCGAAAATGATTAAAGATTCGATCTGCTTAGTACTGTAAAAGCGCACGTTTTCTTGGGGTTTGAAAAAAAAGCATTTGTTCGTGAGGATTTGATGCCATAAATTCGTGGAACTCTCCATGCCACCAATATGAAGAATGTTAAACACCCAAAAAAATAAGTGACTGTACAGTTTTCAAAAGGGGAAAACGTAAAGAAAAAATATTGGGATAAAAAAAAGCTTTCATGCTATTCTTTTTTAAATTTAGCGCAAATATACTCTATTGATTAAGGCATTTGCAGCATATGTGAGGTTTACTTTTTTTTCCAAAAAAAAAAAAAAAAAAAAAAAAAAAAAAAAAAGACGAACAAAGCAATCAAAAACAAAAAATAGAAAGGGATGGGGAAAATACATCCTGCATATTTTTTTCAGTCCATATAATCACTAATTAATTAATTCTCGCTATTACAAAGGGTATTTTCTAGCAGAACATCATGATATCTCCCTGTCATACTCTTTCTTAGCTTGATAAAATGCAACAATGAATATGGATATCAAATGGTCATGACAAGAAGATTTTAACGAAATTTTGAACATCTGTCATATATACACGTGTGTTAAGTTTTTTGATAATAAATAGATCACAACTAGATATGTAATTTATGCCTGCATATTCTGCAGCTAAATTCTACTTAACCAATGCAAGCTTTCGAATTTTGCCTATTTTATGCGATCCTATCTTTTTGTAATTTTTGCTATATATTTTTTTAAAGTTTCACTTCAAACACCTGTTTGTTAGAAGAGAATTTGACCACTGTACGCCTAAAAGTTTTGTACACTATATTTGTACAATGACAAAATATATGTTATTAAAAAAATCGAAACAGACAAGCTCCAAATTATTCTTTTTTTTGATATAAATAATCTTTCTGGGTTTTGCCTAAAAAAAAATAAAAACTGGCTAACAACAAAACAATATGTCAAACGTAGCATCCAGTAACGGTGATTCAAGTACATGAATATCCAAATGAAAAATCAGGCAGTGCAAGAAAGTGATAGGGTGCTGAATTCCCTTAGTTGCTGATTTAATGCAAGTAATGCTAGTTATCATTATCCTGATCAAAATCCTAATAATAAAGTCATATATAGAAATACTACTGGGAGCAGCACCATGGTATCGGAAATAGATAACTGAATTTGGGTAGACTTTACCGGTCCCCTGATCCGCAAGATCCGCGCGCTCATTGCACTATGACGTAAGATTTACGTCACTCAAGTGATTAGGGTTAGTTTTGCACATTTTTCGACTGGTTAGGGTTAGTTTTGCACCAACCTGAAAGAATAGGGTTAGTCCTTGAAAAGTTTTCGGCTGATTATGGTTAGTCTAGCATCTGCCTGGGA